CTAATCTGTATGTTATTTTCTTTCTATTTTGCATATTAATCCCTGTGCACCATGCATGCTTGAGAGAATAAGTGAGTTTACTGTGTGGTTACTGGCCTCCAAGCATCTGTTTACGACTGCAAGGATTATCGCCACGCTGCAGTGTGACATTAACTCATTGGAGTCACTCTCACACCTCATACCACTGGCCACTCAGTCTTCATTCATTTTCAGCCAGACTTTGACAAGTGACAAATGAGTATGGAAGTGGCTGTTTATGGCATCTGCATGCACACGCCCAAAAAAGACAAAGCTACATTCTTTTTAGGTCGAGAAACAAAGAGGCTCGGCAAGGCACAGGCACTGCAAAACAGCAAATGAAGCAAATCCTAAGGTATGTGGTGCTGGCAGAGCTTTGCAAGTTTGAATAAACATGTAATGACTAAAACTACAAACATTTCTCAAATGAATGTAAAGGCTTAACTATGGACAAGTAAAAGGAAGTGATTAAACAGAGCAAATAGTTCTTACTTGCATTTGTTGCACAATATTTCTTTCTCAAGATTTATCTTAAAAAAGGGTCAAATTGAAGTGTCAATTTTCTTTGTGAATGCTTTACCTGCTATAGAACTAAATCCTTGGCCGATATTTCATTATTTTTCATGATTATGGTCTTCTTTATCAAACTGTTAGTAACACCGCATGGTAAGCAAAAGGTATATAAACCACTAAAAAATAAATCTAGTGTTATGTTGGAGTCAGGGTTGTTGTATAAGGAGTCAGGATTGTTGATCTGCTTGTAGTTTTTAGAACAAACACAGCATAGAAAACCTATAACCTCATAAAAAAAACAGTCCCCAAATCTTAACCCCTCTCGCAATTTTTATTAAAAACATGAAAATGTAAAACACAATATGAACAAGGTAGCCTAATTTTCTTTTAATTGATTAAAGCTACCTGAGCTATCTCTATAGTTATGGTGCTATAGGCTTAGACTTCTGGAGGACATATGGACTCCTATTTCATCATTCAGCTTCATTCTACAGTATCTCTATTCTGCCACTCTGCAGAATCTGCTAGTTCAATCTCTACCTACAACTTTATGCTCTCTCCTCTTATTCTCCTAGTAGCTTTGCCTCGTCTGTTCCTGTTTGGCTGTGACACCATCCTGGAGAGATATATCAGCTGTGCTGCTGCCATCAACACCTTTGTTTATAGATGTTGGAGATCAACCTGTTTTTCAGAGTAGTCCTGTTTCTCTGACTGTGACTGGCTGGATGTGCTCTCTTTCTCCTCTGACATGGGAGCTGGCTTGGAGCTCGTCTGCTGTGTGTCTCCTGGATGGGGCCGCCTTTTATAGCTGCTTTTTATATTTCTGCTTCTGTCCCCTTGAATCCCAGTCGGCCTCTGCAGATAGCCACTCAGACTAAGCCTGGTTCTGCTGGAGGTTTCTTCCTGTTAAAAGGGAGTTTTTCCTCTCCACTGTCACTACAAGCATGCTTAGTGTCAGGGATTGCATTCGAGTCAGTGAGTCAATGCAATCAACTGGTTTTCCTTAAATAGAAAACTTGTATGATCTATATGACCTACATGATCTGGTAAAATGTAAAGTGTCTTGAGATGACATGCGTTGTGAATTGGCGCTATACAAATAAACTGAATTGAATTAAGTTTGCTGTATTATAATACTTGCAAAGAGCTTTGGATCATATTCTGTGATTTCTGTGGTTCAATCCATGATTATAGCTCGGGATCAGCCTCCCGTTCCTTTTTTTAAGTTTTTTAAATTTTTCAAACTTTGACATGAAAATGTCAAGTCAAAGCTAAACATTAAAGGCCAATATCATTTCACAGTGATTAACCGATAGATATCACTAATTAATGTCACTTGGGAAAGATTGTGTCCCTAAAGCAATTTTAACTCCTCATACTAAGGAGACTGTTGATGGATATATTAATCTGAATGTGCATGCATAAACATGTGCAAATATAGTATTTTAATATTTATGGTAATACTTCAATAACAATAATGTGATTTAAAGCTCTGTTATATTCTTGTAAATTTCCTTCTTTGTGTTTTCTATGTTATATAGTATTGTGGATGACTACAGGTGTGAATACTTAGGTTTTTTGACAGTTTATTCCATTCTCCACAGCATAAAATAGATTAAGTAATGATACTAGTGCAAGGACTCAACATTTTAATAAAACGTATTTTACTTTTCTGCCAAAAAATGACAACACTTTGGATTCAATCCTTTGAAAATAAGCTCCAATTTACTCAACATGCCCAAAGCTATTTTTTCCAGATCACCATGCTCAAAAGAAGCCCAACTGAGTGGAAAACTGCCTGGTCTGATGACACTTTAAGAAAATGAGGGCTGTGGTTTAATGATCAAGGCCCCATTTTTTGGAGAGCGTCTTTAATATTGTGCTTCTTTTTTCCTGTGTGAGTTATATATTGATAAATAAATCTGTTTCAAATAAATATTGACAGGTACATTTAGTTAGAAAGCAGCCCCTGAAAAGCTGTTAAAAAGCATCAAAATGCAGTCGCTGAAGGTGGCTCTAATAAACATCGGATACAGATGAGAGCGCCGGCACCTGCTAAACCACCAAATGTTTTCTACTGTCTGTTATTGATGTTTTGTGAGTTGGAGATGAAAAGAATATGGAAATAAATGTTTCCTAATTTACTTATCAAAACTGACTAATAATAATAATGCTTTTTCAATTTGTTTTAACAATTGCAAACCAGAGTTTTATAGTACTGTACACAACTCATTGTTAACATGCAGCAGCTTGGCAGCTGTCTCCATACGGCAGACTGATATCACTGTAAAATAGGTGGTTTGCAGTATTCTTCCAAACAGCATTTCCCCCAAAAATCAAAGTGTTATACACTCTTAAGCATGACACTGATGATGTCAGAACCTGGTGTGGTAGTATCATGAGAGCTAACATTCATAAGCTGCTCAGATGGTGCCACTCAAATACCAAATTCAGTTTAGGCGAGTGGACGAGAAGTTCTCTGAACAATGTTTTGCTTCATATCTTGGATGAAGTTAAGAAGCCTCTTGGATGAGAGGCGAAACGTCATCTAGAACAGCGGTCCCCAACCACCGGGCCGCACAGAAAAAAGTATATATATATATATATATATATATATATATATATATATATATATATATATATATATATATATATATATACTTTATATATATATATATATATATATATATATATATATATATATATATATATATATATATATATATATATATATATATATATATATATATATATATATAATTTATCGACGATCAGAGTCTGAGTGAGGTTTTATTTTGAAAAATATAAAAAATTACGGTATTCTCTCCGAATTCCATCAGTCGGTGCATCTGTGCCTCTTGACACGGGTTAATTCAGGTCAAGAGGCATCCTATCTATAACATCCTATGTTTGTGAAGCGGGATTTTCTGCGGTTACAGCGACCAAAACAAAGCTACGGAGCAGACTGGACATCAGGAGCACACTTCGTCTGTCATTGTCTCCGATTACGCCTAGATGGGACCGGCTTGTTGTTTTATTTTTATGCTGTTTGTATTTGATTATATGCCAGTCGTATCATTTTACCTGATCGCATTGATCCCCCCCCCGGCCAGTCCGTGAAAATATTGTCTGACATATAGCAGGTTGTGGTGCAAAAAAGGTTGGGGACCGCTGGTCTAGAAAACTTCACATCCAGTTGCCTAAACCGAATTTGCCAAGCTTGACCATGACTTGGATGAATGAGAATCTTCACTTGTATAAAATATATTTCCAAAAAAATTGATTAGGGATGTCCTGATCTGATATTGATTATGTGATATATTAGCCCATCCATCCATCCATCCATCCATCCATCCATCCATCCATCCATCCATCCATCCATCCATCCATCCATCCATCCATCTTTGGGGAGGAGCAAGGAGGCATCCTAACCAGATACCCGAGCCACCTCACTTGGCTCTTCTCAACGTCGGGGGCAGCGGTACTACTCTGAGTCCTGCCTCATTTCGGCCGCTTGTATCTGGGATATCGGTCTTTCCGTCATGACCCAAAGCCCATGACAATAGCACAAAAAACACATATCGGAATATATTCTTCTGTATCTAAAATCCCTGATACAAGCAAGCTGTTAGAAATGTTCTGCTTCTATCCAGTTCTTTTTGTCCTTCCTCTTCCTTTAGATTAATAATACATAGGTGAATGTTCTCATACTTATTGTTGGTGACTATTGTTTTGTGTTTGAATAATATTACTTAATCAAGCCTTTCTCAACATTGCACAGATTCCACTGAGAAGAAAGAAAATGAGTAATAAAAGTTGTTGATTTTTTTGGATATTATCGCTCAATACTTAAAACTGCAAAATCGGTATCGTATCGAAAGTAATTGTCAGGACAGCCCAATATTTAACTCTTCAAGACAAAACAGAGTGTCACCATAATTCAGTTAGACTGGCACAATACCAAAATGATCTATAACAGACAGAAAAAAAATACTTTAATCTGAAGCTGTATGTATTGCTATAGCAATACACATGTAAACCATTCAAAACTTATTGAATTGTCTTTTATTTGATAAAATTAGAGGTATCAGAGACTAGCCTGGTACTGGCAAATGGTTATTTAGAGCAAAATAATATTATTTTATAGTTTATTAGTTCAATAAAGAATAAAATCCATTAATCTGTAATCAATTCCCTTTTAAGGCCTCCTACAAGACACACCTATTAGGAAACAAGCAGAGTAAGAAAAATGGAGGCCAATACTCTACAACAATTGATATTTCCAGGCAAACTGTATTATAGGTTTTAAAATTCCTTGCAAAATCTCTTTTCAAAAATTGAGTTGCACAAAGTGGGTATGTTGGAGTGCACAATCCTTTCAAGGCCAATATATAAAGAAAAGCATTTTTGAAATATTTTGTAAAATAACAAACAAAATTATTGAATTGCAAAAGGACAGTTTCACTCACAGTCTCTCCAGCTCCTTCAGGTCCTGGAACGCTCCTCTTTCAATCGTTGTGATTTTGTTCTCCATTAACTGCCTGTGAGAAAAACATCAAGAGGGGGTGAGACCATGGATATGGAAAATTCAAGACATGGGTTGATAAAGACACACACAATGTAGGAGCTGTTGGATACATGGGAGGCCAGACAGCAGGAGGGGCCTGATTGACCTGCAGTTAAGAGAGAAAAGAAGAAGAGAAGAGGCTGACAGAGAGATGGAAGGAGAACAACAATGGAGAAGAGAGGCAGAGATAAAAAATGGCCCCCCCCCCCCTTAAACCCCCCCCGCCCCCCCCCAAAATTTAATAATAAAAACCCCCCCCCCCTCATCCCCCCCCCCCCATTTTTGGTATTTTTTGGTTTGAATAACCCCCCCCCCCCCCAACCCCCTCCCCCCCCTTCCCCCTTTTCCCCCCCCCCAAAAATTAATAATAAAATTGGTTTTTTTTAAACCCCCCCCCTCCCCCCCCCCTTAAAACTAAAAAGGATGAGAAAGAAATTTTCCCCCCCCCCCCCCCCCCCCCCCCCAAAAACCGGGCCCCCCCCCCCCAAAACCCCTTTAAATGCCCCCCCCCCCAAAAAATTCATAAAAAAAAAAATTTTAAAAAAGGTTTTGATCCCCCCCCCCTTCCCCCCCCCCCCTTTAAAATTATTGAATTTTTTTATTTAAAAAAATCGGGTTCCCCCTAACCCCCCCCTTTTTTGGGAAAGGGATTAACAAAAAAAATTTTTTTTTTGGAAATAAAAATTTAAAACCCCCAAAAAACCGAAAACCCAACCCCCTTTCCCCCCAAAAACCCCTATTGGGTCAAAAGAAAAAAACTATTTTTCCCCCCCCCCCCCCCCCCCCCCCCCCCCCCCCCCTTAAATTATTTTTTAAACCCCCCCCCCCAAAACCCCCCCCCCCAAAAAGATTGAAAAAAGGGGTTATTGAGGTTTCCCCCCCCCCCCTTTCCCCCCCCCCCTTTAAAAACCCCCCCTTTTTTAAAATTATTTTTAAAAATCAAAAAAAAAATTTTTAAATTCCCCCCAAAAACCTTTCCCCCCCCCCCCCCCCCCCCCCCCCCCCGGCCCCCCCCCGCCCCCCCCCCCCCCGGGGCCTTAATCTTAAACCCCCCCCAAGTTTCCCCCCCCCCCCCCAAAGGGAAAATTCCCCCTTTTCCCCCCCCCCCCCCCCCCCCCCCCCCAAGGAACCTGTTAAATGGGGGCCCAAACCCCCCCTTTTGATGGGGTTAAAGAAAAAAAAAACCCCCCCCCCCCTGGGGCCCCCAATAAAAACCCCCCCCCAATTTTTAAATTAAGATGTTGTTTTCCCGCCCCCCCCCAACCAAGGATGGGGACTTTCCTCCCCCCCCCCCTTTTTGTTTTCCCCCCAAAGTTTTGACAAAATAACCCCCCCCATTTCCCCCCCCTCCCCCCCCCCCTTTTCCCCCCCCCCCCCGATTTTCCCCCCCCCTTGCCCCCCCCCCCCCCCCCCCCCCCCCTTTTCAACAATAAAACCCCCCCCCCCTTTTAAAAATTTTATTAATTAAAAAATAAAAAGAAAATAAAAATTCCCCCCCAAATATTAAAATTTTTCCCCCCAAAAACCCAACCCCCACTTTTTAACCCCATCAAAACTTGGCCCCTTTTCCCCCCAAACTGAACCTGCCAAAAAACCCTGGAAATTTCTAAAAGGGGGGCCAAGAATTCCACCCCCAATTTCCCCCGAAAAGAGTCGGACCACCATAACCCAACCCCCGCCCCCCCACACCCCAAAAAAGCCTTTTGGATTGAACGGTTGACTGTGGGGCCTTTGAGTACAGTTACTCCAGCAAAAAACCCCCCATTTCTGAGTAAACCCCAATTTTAAAAGCCCATGGGCCCAAAATCCTGCTGAAAGTCCCCCAAAAGAATTTGGGAAACATTGGGCAAAAAGGGGTTGGACTGGTCACAAAAATTCCTAGGTAGGCTTTTGGCTTTTGAAAACGTTCTAAATTTGGTCCCCCCAAGGGGGGCCCCAAAGAGTGCCAAGAAAATTTTCCCCACACCATGCCCCCCCACCCCCAAACCAGCCAAAACCTTTTGCAAGGCGGGAAAGGTTCCATGCTTTCATGTTGTAGACCCCAAAAAATTCGACCCTCCCCATCCAAAATTTCGCAGCAAAAAACGAGACTCATCAGACCCAGGCAAATTTTTTTTCCCAATTTTCTATTGCCCAATTTCGATGACCCTTTTTGAAAAAATTGAAAGCCTCAGTTTCCTGTTCTTAGCTGAAAGGAGTGGCACCCGGTGTGGTCTTCTGCTGCTGTAGCCCATCTGCATCAAAGTTCGACGTACTGTGCGTTCAGAGATGCTCTTCTGCCCACCTTGGTTGTAACGGGTTGTTATTTGAGTCACTGTTGCCCTTCTATCAGCTCGAACCAGTCTGGCCATTCTCCTCTGACCTCTGGCATCAACAAGGCATTTCCGCCCACAGAACTAACGCTCACTGGATGTTTTTTCTTTTTCGGACCATTCTCTGTAAACCCTAGAGATGGTTGTGCGTGAAAATCCCAGTAGATCAGCAGTTTCTGAAATACTCAGACCAGCCCTTCTGGCACCAACAATCATGCCACGTTCAAAGTCCCTCAAATCCCCTTTCTTCCCCATACTGATGCTCGGTTTGAACTGCAGGAGATTGTCTTGACCATGTCTACATGCCTAAATGCACTGAGTTGCCGCCATGTGATTGGCTGCTTAGAAATTAAGTGTTAACGAGCAGTTGGACAGGTGTACCTAATAAAGTGGCCGGTGAGTGTATATGCATGGTTATTTACACTAAATCTCCATATTTTATCAGATTTTTGCCACTGACTCCATGATGGGTATCACTTAATTGTGAAGTCTTATATAAAATATGCATAATTTCCCATTTCTTATACAGCTTTTAACTACTCTAGTACCCATTGAAACAAAAAACAGGCCAACCAATCATCTCTAGAAGTTACTTAATAAGTCTTCACATTATCTTAGTATAAGTCTAGCTTTTCTTTTGCAGCTCTCACGGTTTAGTTAGAGAACATTAGTGAACAAACATTCTTGGTATTACTTAGTACACCAATCCAATACTCAGCTCCAATACTGAATACTTAGATGAATAATGCCTTTCCAGCATTCCAATCCAGTCATTTCTATTTATTTTTATATCATACACAAATATTTAATATTAATAAAGAATAAAGTGATTTCAATTTTATCACTGCAACCCTGCTTATGTCACTGATCAGAGCCCACACAGCAGCTGGTGATGATTTATATCTGTGTTCATGATGCCTTTACTCACATGTCGAAGTATATGGTTGATTCATTCAGCAGTAGTATTGAATAAGTATCATATATCAGCCACACAGTCACGTATCAGATTTGAACAGAAAATAATGGATCTGTGCATCTCTACTACAATTCAGGCCATTGGCATGAAATGGAAAGATTTTGGCATAACGCAAACTAGAGCGGCACGCCATATCAACTGAGAATCATCATTGCCATTGAATATGTCCAATGGGTCCAATATTGCAGTTGCAAAGCTTTGTTAGTACATAGTATGTCATACTATTAATTGTGCATTATCCCACTGGGATTTACACAAACTGCTCCTTATTCCCGGGCCTTATTTGTATCTTTATTATTTGAGAAGCTTGAACTTACAGATAGGAGAGGGGTGAGTTTGATATAACACAGACAGAAAATGGCTCTTAAAAATTTGGGTTAGCTCTTATCAACATCAACATCCCCATAGCCATTTTAAACAGTGATATCACTATTCAGTATTTGCCTGATATAGTGCGGCTATGAAATAATGGTTTTCACCAATACTAACAGGTCAGACTAGTAGAGCAATCAATAATCAGTAAAGAAGCCATGTCCATGGCCATTTTGGAGGGAAGGTAACAATTCACAGCATAAGAGGATCAATCTGTTAGGAAATATGGAAGATTGGCAAAAAGAACACCATTAAAGGTCCTGTTTAAAATGTGTAAAAAGTAATGCAGTGGACAAACCATCATTTGGAAAAGGTGCTCTAATCAGATAGGATTAGTAATTACGCAAGCATGCACTGACTGTTTGCTGTAAAATATTAAAATAATCACTCAAAACAAATCATTTTCACATTGAAATGGTTATGGCTGCATCATACTGTGGAGATGCATTGTTTCTTGAAGACAGGTGGATACAGATCAGAATTAATGGAAAGATGGATGAAGCAAAATACAAGGTAATTTTCCATAATATTATTCATTTTGTAAAGAATTGTTTTTTGTAAAATGCCCTGCAGGGGTTCAAGAGGAATTCCTAGAACAAAACTTTCCTAAGTTAGTTGCTCTGGTGCTGTTAACACAACAAATGAAGGCTGAAGAGACCAAACTTTCCACAACAGACTTATAGAAGATATGCAACACCCTACTACAAACACTACACTGCATGAAAAGTGAGATTTTCGTCCCCGTAAACCCCCGTAAACTCCCGCAGATCTGCCTGATTTTCGTCAGTTTCCGACAATTTGCAACCCGTGCTTGTCCGCGTTTGTTGTGCCACAAATTGTCGGAAACGGACTCTGACGTATGTGGAGAGCGATCAGCTGTACTAATGGCCCTAATTAGCATATGAATGCAGCAAACCCGCGCGGCTGGCCAGGTCTGGCTTGAATAACCTACTCAGTATTGGCTGAAACCACTATTCTCAAACAAGTGAAATCGCTCGTGATTGGCAGCAAAACCAAACGTGGCCACGCCAGGCTTTAATTTTCTTACTGAGTATTGGACGGAACCACTTCTTTTTAAACAAGTAAAGTCGCTCGTGATTGGTTGGCATATATATATATTTACATATAAATTTACATATATATATTTATTCATATATATATATATTTATTCATTCATATATTTATTCATTCATATATTTATTCATTCATATGGTGTGTATTTATGTTATCCTACACTACTACACAATTATTAGGCTACCATCAAGGACATGAATGAATTTTTTACAGGAAAAGAACATTTGCCAGGAAGCTGTT